AGCCGGCCGGCCCGGCTAGCGAAGTCACCTCCCTTGGAAATACTGGAACGTTTTACGTTCTCCACCGAAATCGCCCCAAACAGCCCATTTTGAACCAGAATCATTTGGTCTGACAACAGATTCTTCCTCTGTTCACAGCTGTCCCAGAGGGAGGAGCTGAAACCTGAACCTCTCCGCCGTGATTGGATCCTCCTTGCAAAAGGGAGGAAAAGCGCTCGCTCCGCCCGCCCGCCGGCACGATGCCGCGCTCCTTCCTGGTCAAGAAGCATTTCAACGCCTCCAAAAAGCCCAACTACAGCGAACTGGACACCCACACAGGTAGGCGCGGCGCCCAGACCTGCGCGCCCTAGACGAGCCTCGTGCTGCCAGACGCCGCAGCAGGGCGCGAGGCCCAGCTGTCCCCGGTGAAGCAGTGGCCGCAGACAGTGCGCGTTCTTCCGGCCACGGGGCAGGCTTTAATTCAAACTTCCGAGCCCGTTAAACCCGTAACTGCCGGGGCGCGCTTCGCCCGCGGCCGGCCGTTTCCTCCAGCCTGCCCGCACAGGCACGGGGGCGGGTGGGAGCTGCCCTCGTCCGTGCGCGGGAACGCCGCCCCCTCGGGCTCCTTTCCTGCGGAAGGCCGTGCTGGGCGCCCCGCTCTGGGCTGGGGTCGGCCCGCACGTGACTAGCCCGTGCACGCCGTGGAAAGCGGCTCCTGCGTGTAGCACTGCTGCGGCGCTGTTCCGGCCCGGGCGGTGCCGCGGTGCGTGGCCGCGTCCCTGCCCGTCCAGCGGCTGTCAGGTGCGTCCAGTGCTGCCCGCGAGGTGCCTCCTCCGGAGGTCTGCCCTCTTCCTCGCGAAGGCCGGTGTGCGCGGCCACATGCCTCCCAGTGTGCGTGCTGGGGGGACCTCCCCAGTTATGTGGCGTAACCTTTCCTGCCCTCTCCTTTCCCGCAGTGATTGTCTCCCCGTATCTCTATGAGAGTTACCCCATGCCTGTCATCCCGCAACCAGAGATCCTCAGCTCCGGGGCCTACAGCCCCATTACCGTGTGGACCGCCACGGCGCCATTCCACTCCCCACTCCCCAGCGGCCTCTCTCCTCTTTCCGGATACCCCTCACCCCTGGGGCGTGTGAGCCCCCCTCCTCCATCTGACACCTCGTCCAAGGACCACAGCGGCTCAGAAAGCCCCATCAGTGATGAAGAGGAGCGGCTGCAGCCCAAGCTCGCAGACCCCCACGCCATCGAAGCCGAGAAGTTCCAGTGCAGCTTGTGCAGCAAGACCTACTCCACTTTTTCTGGGCTGGCCAAACACAAGCAGCTACACTGCGATGCCCAGGCCAGGAAGTCCTTCAGCTGCAAATACTGTGACAAGGAGTACGTGAGCCTGGGCGCCCTTAAGATGCACATTCGGACCCACACCTTACCTTGTGTCTGCAAGATCTGCGGCAAAGCGTTTTCCAGACCCTGGCTGCTTCAAGGACACATTAGAACTCACACTGGTAAGAGAAAAACGGAGACAGGAATGTTTACTCTCAGCGAATGCACTCTGGGCTGACGGTCAGATTTGCTTGGAATAGGGACACAGCTTTTGACGAGGGAAGAGCATTGCGAGCTACTTCCTGACTCTTGAGAAAGTTGTCCGAGCACAGACTGGCCCACTGCGTGCTAACAGCCGCTGAGCTAGTGCCGGCAAACAGGGGTTAGACTTTGGAAAGCAGATTCGCGTTTGGTCTCAAAGATCAGCTAGAAATCCAGGAAGGATGTGCTTGAATGTGTGTTCTGTGACACTGCCCCAGGAATCAGCAAATACGAATGTTGCTATCAATTGATTTGGTAAATAGAGGAAAGCTTTTCTATAGTTCCCTGTTCTTGCCAGTGATAGGAGCACCCTTGGTGAGCTGGAGAGCGGGAGCTGAATTCGCTGTGGCCTTCTGTTCTGTTCCTTTTCTTTTCTGCTGAACTTTTTTATTCCTAGCACAAGTTATACTGCAGGGAGTCAAGGCATGTGCGCTGTCTCAGCTGTGCTACAGAACAGGGGAAGGGACGGAGCTTAGGAATGTTGGGGGGTGCAGAGGTGCATCTTAGCTGCACCTGCTGGAGCAGAGAGCTTCAGTAAGTGGAAGTCCTAGAACTCGGCAGGTTAGTTCTGCATGGCTGGCAGCAATAATAATATTCTGGGTATTTTTTTTTTTTAATGCAACATTCAAATTTATCTTAAAGGGCCAGGTTTTAAGTACCCAGTCTGGGGAGTTTTAGTCAGGTTTGCTGTTTGGTGAAATGTGATTGATATGCATTAATGTTGTTTGACTTTGTTTCCTCTGAAAACACTGACTGTTTCTTTTTCACCCCCTCTCCCTGCCCCACCTCCAGGGGAGAAGCCTTTTTCTTGCCCTCACTGCAACAGAGCGTTTGCAGACAGGTCGAACCTGAGGGCTCATCTGCAGACCCATTCTGATGTAAAGAAATACCAGTGCAAAAACTGCTCCAAAACCTTCTCCAGAATGTCTCTGCTGCACAAACATGAGGAATCTGGCTGCTGTGTAGCACACTGAGTGACGCAACCCATGTTTACTCGAACAGAATGCATTTCTTCACTCCGACGCCAAATGACAAGTCCAAGTCCAAAGGCATTCTCGCTCGTGCTAACTGACCAAATCGTATGTAGAGACACACGCCGCAAAGCACGGAATCCATGCGTTCAAAGTTAATCCTTTCCATGTGAGGTCGAAAATTAGTTTCTATTTACTGACAGCTGGATTGGGAGGATGAAAGACAAGGACCTTTCTCTTCAACGATGATGCAAAAAGCACATTGCATCTTTTGTTGCTCAGAAAGAATGCAAAGATTCACATTGCTGCCGAACCATTTCAACTAAAGGAACAGTATTGCTTGGTGATAGTTTCCTATGGGAAGAGAATCTGCCAGACACGATCTCAGGTGCCTTATTAAGTATTCCAAGTTTACTTCATTATATGTCCGATGTCTGGTCGCCATTGTTGAACTAAAGCCTTTTTTTGATTGCCTATAATGCTTTAAAGTGTATTCTTAAGAGAGAAGAAAAGAACAATTACAAAACACAGGAGAATGTATTAAAAATATTTTTTTGTCTTTTTTATGCCAATGAACAGTATGTGCCTTGGGGGAGGAGGGAAAGACCAGCTTTGAACATTCCGGGTGCATGCTCCATGCTTTACGTCTTAAAGAATTTTAAAGATTTTTCTAAAATTAATTAAAGATGGGAATAAGTGCAAGAGGATTCTTAGAAATTCAGTAATGTACTTAAACTATTTTAAATGCATAAAACAAATGCAATAATACAACACCCCTTCAAGTGCCTTTTTTAATTAACTGTATAGTTGATGAGTCAGTGTAAATTTGTGTTTATTTTTATATGATTGAATGAGTTTTGTATGAGAGTGAGATGTTGTCTATAGCTCTGTCTATACGCAACCTGAAGACTTGTGAAATCAAAGTTTCTTTTTAAAAAAATAATTTTCAAGGTCGTTTTTTTACAATAAACATTTTTGACTTAAAATCTATTGTTTGTACCCTATCTTCAGATGCTTTGCTCGCTTTGTGATTAGTACCAAACTTCTATACAAAACTGTCTTCCTGTTAATAAGGGGAAAACATGAGTAGTGTTTATTGTGAGTATCAAGCGGTATTTTATGAGTTAGAGTATAATAAAGTACCTGCTAGTCTTCTTTTCTCCCATGAGACAATACTGCCCCATTCAGAAAAGACGAAATCATGATAGTATATCCCTCTAACCAAAATCCCACCTCCTAAGTACTAAAATATCCTCACATTATTAATAGTCAAAAGTCGCCTGAAAAACTCTTAGTTTATGGGCCAGCAAGTGGCATAGTGGTAAAGGCACTGGACTCCCACTTTGGCAGACTGCTGTTCGAGTCCTGGACCTGGTGGCTTGAAAATCATGCCAGGCCCATGTGCGTGTGTGCTCAAAATCCTGAGAGGAGAATGGAGAAGTGGCATGGCCGTCCCCCCTGGGGAGTGACATCACATTCTTTTTCACCACCCCTCTGTCTCACCCCTCTCCAGCAAGCACGCACCATGCCCTGTGGCAAAAATTAAAAAAAAAAAAAATGTTGGTGACTTTAGTATATTGCTTTTGTGAAAGCAGTTTATAATCACTACCACACAGGCCACTGGAACATGAAGGTTTTATATAAAATAAAATTAAAATAAATCATTCTTAAGAAAAAAAAAAAGAAAAATGTGATGAGATGAAAGAGAGAAAAGTAGAATATTTCCATAAAAAGGCCAGAAAATAAATGGATTTACCATAAATTATGGAAGTTGAAAAATTAAACCATGCAAAGAAAACCCCACCTCTAGCACTTGGTGATGCGCCTGACAGGAGAAAGGCCGACTGAGCACTGCAGCAAGCTGGCCAAGACCACGGAAAGCCAAGATGTCCTCGATAAGATGACCGTGCTCATTGGCTCCATGGACACGTTGACCAGAGGCACGGGTACTAACTGGTATGCAGACACCCTAATTTCATCGGGACTGTGATAGTTACCAAAGTGTACATCTGACTCCAAATTCCAAACCCTTAATCATTTTTGTCTGGTATAATCAGAACTTGCAGAATCATGCTTTTCTTTTCAATGACCTTGTGCTGCTAAAAGCCCCAGAAAACTGAAACTAGTATCTTGACGGTATTCGCGACAGCCTGTTACAGGTGGCCAACAGGAAACACGGCACTCTCCCCTTAACGCTCAGCCCCATCCACTGCATGGTACATTTACATTTTAGCACACATACAGAAGGGCTGTGCATTTGACTACAAAACAATTCAATTTACTATTCTTTGTTTTTGTACCTCCGCATATTTCTCAGAGGCAGAATGCCTTGCAATAGCAATGTGTGAATGTAGCTGCTAGCCTGTCTGGGCGTCCTGAAGTTATGAAAAGACCAGTGTAGCTGAGGGATCTGGTGAGAGAGGATTGCCAGTGATTGTCTGAAAGTTTCCAGGCCAGCTAACATGTAGAAACATCTTGCAAGGGGAAAATGTGAATGAGTCAACATTCCTGAGTGCTCTGCTTGACGATCCCAGAACATCTACCCACATTTCTCATGTGTGGGTCTACAGTCAAGGAGTTTTTTGGTGTCCAAAATGTAAGCAGCTAATTTTTTTTTAAAAGGAAGAGTCTGCTCATTGATTGAATTCCTTAGTAAGGAAGTAGCAGTACTATCGTTGTAAGATTGTCTGCTTTGTTCTCATCATTCTAATTTCATTCATGACTAAAATATGTTATTTTCATTAAGCTATCCTGTGTCTGAATTCAGGCACATCGGATACAAGATGTTCTACAAATTCATCTTGTATTTAAAGTAATATTTTTAGAAGTTTTAGAATTGTTCACCAAGGTCTTGGGCTAAATGTCTGTTTACTACAGTGTATCAGATCTGGCGCAAATCTCATTTAATTTGAAATAGTTTTCCAAATTTGTCCCCTCTGGGAGCTTAATGCATTTCTATGATAGTATTTATTTAATTACATCGAAATATTTTGTTGATATCTCTGTGTTTCAGCAGACGGAATATTCTTAATGTAAAAGTGCCTGTACCCAGCACGTCACCCGGAACGCGACAGCGGCTAGTCCAACATACGTCTCTGCGTTGCAGAGAACTTTGACGACCTCTGGGAGACCCTCCAAGCACTTCACTGCCAACTCTCTCAGCCTAGTGCTGGGAGCCCCCCGCCCCCTGAAGACGGGGTGCCCGAGAGTGACAGGGGCAGATGTAGTGGCCCCTGACAAGGCCTGAGCTTTGGAGTTCATGTAGGTACCCCTGTCCATGAGATCTCAGACCCTCACTTTGTTTCATGAATATGTTCATCAGCTCCCATGTGCTGGCTTCCATCCCTACAGGAGAGTGCAAGCCACTTTGCCTCAGTTTCCTAAAGTGTAAAGTAAGAACAGTCAGTCTCCGCGCCCACAGTCCTGGCAGTAACGACTCATCTACCCTAACAGTGACTTCCCGATGTCATTATTAAACGCTTACGAGGGACCTGTTCTTGCCAGGAACTTCCGCATTCGATCCCTTCCGACGGTAATGCCATCTGTACGAAGGCAGAGTCTCCCAGGTAAGGCTATGAAACTCAGAGAGGTCGGGTAACGGACCCACGGTAACGAAGGTGGCAGGCTGCAAGATGGGAACCCCACACCAGACTCACCAGGCTGCAAAGACCCTGCTCACTACCTGTCACCAAGGGAATAAGGAGACCCCACAGCCCTACCCCCAGCTCACTGACTGAGCCGCTGTGGGCTCGTGTTGGAGCAGTGTCGGTAAGGACAATGGTAACACGTCCTGAAATGAAGTATGTTAGTGTGTGTGGGACTACCACAATCCGGGAGTTACACAATCACATGTAACAGTCTCCAGAGCCATTTCCCAATGTCTTCTGGAAACTGCAGCTCCACCTCCTCCGGGCTGGCCCTTCCTGCCATGCCCTGCTCTGCCGGGCTCCCCCGCAGCTCCCCAATGCTCTCCCCTGCAGGGGGCCAGTTTCCCCCGGTCTGTTCTCAGTGGGGTGAAAAGCAGCTGTTCTCCGTCCTCCCTACCTTAACACCCCATCTCTGAAGGCCCTGTTACTCCCTCACACACCCACGCTCCTCTCTGCGCTTTTATCTTCTTGGACTGAAAAGTCTTCCAAGCAAACAGTCATTTCTTTCACCACGAAAATGTGGACACTCTGGTGTAATGAGGCAATTATAGTTTTGAAAAGTATAAGGCTTCCCTGGCTAAGATCCACATCTTAGGAGTTGCTGCTAGTTCAGATACGGGAACTAGCTTGAGAAAAATCGATTTGAGAACGAGCGTCCTGGGGAACCAGCAGTCCCCACGAAGGTTCCCCCTCCTCTGGCCTCCTCAGCAGCTGCAGAGGGAGAGCTACTTCACGCTCCTGACCAGTGATGGAGACGTTCGGAGGGAGACGGGTCCTCGGGTTTCATTTCCAGCATCGCTCGTGCGCAGTCCATGACTACGGGAATGAGTCCATGGCTCAAGTGAGGATGAGCCGTCCAGGAAGTAATAATGGCTTTGTGGAAAGCATGCATGTAAAAGTCAGCAAGCATGGCGGCTTTTCTGTTGTGGCACTCAGCCAGACCCCCAAACAATGAGAGATTCGCAGAGGAAATGGCAGCAGATTCACTGCGGCGGACTCCAGGAGGTATTTATAGCCGTGAGCAGGACTGCTGCTGGGGGAAGGATGGGAGTACTTAGGTACTTTGTACCAGTTCGTGTAATTAAGCCCCTCTGGTTATAGCGGCCAGCTTAACCATTCAGCTCGTTCTTTTCCAAATGCGTCGAGGGTCGGAGGCCCTCTGAACGATCCCTGCGTGGTGCTGGTACTCGGGCAGGCAGGTGGCTGGTCACCCGTCTGTTTCAGGAGTGAGGACGCTAGAGAAGGATGCCGTGATCTTCTCCCTGGCTTATTCTGGGGCTGGGCCCGACGGCCTCCAGGTCAGAGCAGCAGCTAACATAGCTCTTCTACTTCAGAGTTAGAGGCAGCAGGAGCTGGTTCTACCGAGTGGGAAGGGAAAACTCGGGTCCATAGAATAGCCATACCTTCTCTTGCCAAAGAAAGCGAGTGGTGACGCTATTTCGTGTGAGCGCTGAGCTTCGCCTATGCGTCTCAGATGCGCACAGGCCCGGAACTTTCCTGTGTGTGCTCATGGTCTTTCTGAAGGAAGGATGGTAAGGGGGGGCACCCCTTCAGTCACACACAGTCCGGCGGGGAGGAGGCACTAGGGTCCCCTCGTCCCAACCCGCACATGTCTAGCTGCGCTGTGGATCTCAGTAACGCCCTGCGGCGGGGCCTGGAGTCTGTACCCAGCCAGTTCCCTGCTGCCGGCCTCACACTCACTCCCTGTGGCCCAGCTCTAACCTCAGGCTGGCTCTGAAGCCCACGCCCCTGTCTTCCTTTATCAGGGTTTTGCCATAGAGCATGTGCACTTGCTAGAGACAGAGCGGGAAAGTGAGAAATCACGCCCAGGGAGGATGGCCTCATAGCAACCCCCTCTCCTCCATTCTCCTCTCGCAATTTTGGGCATGCATGTACATGCACCCGGTGTGATCTTCAAGCTGCTGGGTCCAGGACTAGAACCACCGTCAGCCATGTGGGAGTCCAGCGCTTTAACCGCCACATCCCTGACGGGCCCCAGGCCCCTTTCTGTGCCTCAGTTTCTGATCTAACGCGGGCCAGAGCGGCATGAGGCAGCAGGGGCATCTAGAATGTGCGGTGCCGACCTGCCACGTTTGCCTAGCTGGGGAGGGGCCTGGAGACACGACGTCATGGATCCCCACCAAAGCCAGCCTGCTCTTCTCTGCCCTGTTCTGCTCCCCCAAGAGTCCCCTAATGCCACCTGACCCGTCAGCACTGTGACTGGGCCGCACTTTCACTGCGCTATTTCTACTCCGCTATCCCTCTCCTCCTCTACGCTTGCCAAGCCCCGCCCACCTTTGGGGGCCCAGAAGCACACACTGAGCTTTG